GCTAAATTTTTAGCTTTGTCAGCCTGTATTTTTTGCTAGTGATAATCATCTACCTCACACAAACGTCAAAAAACAGTGATGCAATAGATTCAGATTTACGACATGAAAATAACCGCATTCTAAAGTTCTGATTTTTCTTTCTGCTATGATTTTTTTTTTTCCCTCAAGAATTACAATTATTTCTAATTACACCCCCTTCCCACTTAACCTTAAATGCATTTCTTTAAAAAGCTATCTTGCTTTTACATTATATATCCCGTCAATCAGCGTTACACTTGTGGTATTTGAAGCTTAATTTTCATATGGGAAAGTGGATTCTGGGCTGAAGAAATACTCCCTCATTCACCAAGAACACGTCAGAAATGGACTGCTCTGGACTTGAATCTGTACAACTGAAGACCAGAGTATTCTCAGATTTTGCATAAGGATTGAAAAATAAGCAGACTGAATCCATTTCAACATGAATACGGGCAATAATTTTCTTTCATAAAGTCCCTTCAGAGTGGAATCAACTCCATGACTTCATTATGATCACTAAATCCACACATTAGATAAGCAAAACTTCAACAAGCATTCAGATTAGCCAAAATCATTTGATCATGATGAGTCAGAAGGCGACTCTAGGAATCTTTTGTTTTGTCTTTAAATGTTATAGCAAAAACTGCACCTGCTTGGGAGCTGACTCACAACACCCTCAGACAATAGTGTGATGGTGGCAAGGAAAGGACTTCAGGAGATAACCTCTGCAGTCAGCTCAGGCCAGAGTGCATGCGCTCATCAATTATAATCCAAGCTTTTCAATGGGAGAGAAGAAACGCTGGCCTTCATTACATCAAATCTTTTTTGCTGGGTTTTAGAATTCTGAAATCAATACTTTAAAAGGAGTTGAAAATTCATATTCACTTTCCCATTGACTCATCTCGTTCCAGCTAGTTCAAACACAAGAAAATGGATGGTCAGCAAAACCCAAATAGCTGCCAGCTGGATTAATATCTAAAAATCTAACTTTTATCAACACTATCCAAGCCTTCCAGTTCAAAAAAATGAAAGGGGGAAGATCCATAATCTTATTCTTTTCTTTTACATGCCAGGAACACTTAGTAAAAATGTCTTGAAATATATCAGACTTTTAGCTACTAGAATATGACTGCAGAAAGGACAAGAAATTAGAAACTTCCCAAATTTGCTGTAAATCAAAGAAAACCCCATACTCATCAGCTCAGAGTTACTGTGAGTTTAGGGTGAGGAAGGAATATCAAGTAAATTCATCTAAAACAGTTCATCCTCTTTAGAAACAAAAGATAAAACCTGTAAATACATGAAGAACATTAAAATTCTTAGCAGAAATCATCCTCAGAAAAACACTCTGTCAAAAATCCAGGGAGTAGTGTTATCTACAAAAACAACCGATTATCATTTTCTGTACTTATTTGAATCATGAAAGCACACAAGGAGCTCAAATACATCACTTACAAACTTCTTACTCAAAACTAAAATTTGCCCTAACCTGTCTGTCAGGGAAATCAGAAGTGACTTTGGTAACTCTTCTAATGATTTTCATATTAATGTAAAAATCGCATGCTACTGTAAGGCCAGGCTCCACATCACATAATTCTTGTTATCACTTTGATGGGGACAAGACTAAGGCCTTGTAACTCCTCTGCTCATGAATATTGCAATAAAAATACTTATGGTAATAATGTATATGATATACAGAAACACTGGGTTGCTGGAACAACTAAGCAGAAGTACATCCTTGCATTTAAAACTTTCCACTGACACGACACAGCAATGACAGCACTGAATAGACATCGTTGTTCTCTCGCTGTTCCAGTTCCTAATAAGATTATTTAATGTGGCTATCTGGAGTGAATGCACAGATGCAGCCATTATATTTATTGTAGAGAGAATAGCAAAATTCATTAAAACCTTGACCCAACAGGAAATCCTCCATGCTGCCATGCTGTTGGGGAGCCTGTGGGCTGGCAGGCAGCTGAGACCCAGCCCTGGCCTGGGGGTGCAAGGCCTCTGAAGGGACATTGCCACCCCCTCCACTTTTCCTGTGCATGAAAATAAGGTGCCTTGCTTTTTTTTTTAATTTTCATGTTTAATTTCACTCTTGCTTTCTCAATGGAGCTGCACCCGTCAGCCTGGTGCAGCAGATGTTGAGCACAAAATCCTCAGTTTCTTTCTCCCTGCTTTAGGAGCAGGTCGTTTGCTGGTGGTTTTCAGCATGTAAAATAACATGAGGCACAGCAACAGGCGAGATAGGAAGAGATACCAATTTATAACATGCTTAATAGACTAAGTATTAGCACTAATTCAATGAGCAGTAGGGGAAAAAATTGTTAATGACAAAGGCATTTACAGTTAACTGTCTAAGAGAATGTGGGGAAGTAAATCATTACATGAAAAAGGAGCTCCTTTTCTCCATCTACCCCATTAAAAACCCCACTAAAGAGCCAAGGCATTTATTGATTGCTTTCTACTTTCCCACTGCCGAAACTAAGTACTCCTCTATTTACTTTGATTTAAAAATGCATTATTGTCTACTTTCTAATAAACCAGACAGTGGAACAAGAAACTCAAATTATTCTAAGTTTATTCTTAAAAGTCCTTTTTTTTTTTTTTTTTTTTTTTTTGAAAGACTGAAGGCCTTAATCCTTAAAAGCCTTTTTGAAAGAAATGTTACTAGATGCTGGCCCTGCAGCTGGGCCCAGATTGAAAGTGCACTTACATTTTTATGTTTAGCACTGAAGGACTCTGAAGTTAGCCCTCGCACTCCACATAAAAGCTTTGGAAACGGCATTCTTTGCCACTCGTGCAATTCATTCTCTAAGAAAAGGAAATGGAAAGAAAGATTTCATGTCCAGGGCTTCAGGCCTTTGATCATTTGATGAACATTGGATCCTCAACCTGGGCCTCCAGCTTCTCAGGCCAGACAAAGAGGGCCCCGGCCGCACAGGCTGGGCTGCGGTTCCCTCCCGAACAAAACCTTTGGTGGCCGCACAGTGTGACAGCCTGGGAAAGGCCCACCTCAGCAGGGCTGAGATGCTCGCTCTGCCCTTTGATCTTTCATTTAAACCCCAGCCAAAGCTCCAGGTCAGGGGATTTCGTGCTGCACACCCCCATCGGCAGAGGGGAGCAGGTCAAGAACAAAATGGGGGTGACCGATCTCCAAAAAGCCCTATGACGCCTTTCTCTGGCCAGTTTCACATGACTTGTCTCGTATTGTGAAACACTAAGCCCGCACTTAAAATGGAATTTGACATTACATGGTACAATGGAGTCAATAAATGGCATTCTTCAGTGCTTTTACAACAAAGTCAACCCTCCCTTAAGTGGCTGAAAGCCCGGAGCTAGAAAATACTTCTCATTTACTTTTTTATGCAAGTAAATTGCATATGTTTTAAATCTAGTTTTCATCACAGCTTCATGTTTCTGATGGCTGAAGTGAGCTGAACAAATATCTAACAAAGGTGTATATTGATTTTACTTTATACCATTGCTCCTGCTTTCCAAGAATAGGTTGTCACATGGAATGGAACAAGTGCTGCAAATATCTCCATATTTCCTCACAGAGGGAAAACCTATTTTCCAGTGAGCATGAAAAACTGATCTCATCCCACTGGAAAATCTTCAGGGCACGGCTAAGAAGAAAACAGGCACACAGCTTCTTTTAACATCAGGACCAAGTTCCATATTATGCTCACAGGCACAAAACACGTCCCTTTATGTCCATGTGTGACCAGACATGTTAACAGTCAGAACACAGAGAGGAAAAAGGGGTATCACATCAGTATGTCCCACAGGACTGTGATATGTGGATGCAATAGATGACTGCAAAGCATGCAGCATATTTTTAAACCACATCTAAAAGTAAGACTATATTAGAAGGTTTTCAACAACAACTGTAAAATGACTGGAAGTCAAAGGACTAAATACTAATTCTCCAAATAAATTAATTTACGTTATTACAGTAATCCTTTTACTATAAATACAAACACATTGTGCTTAATAACAGATCAAGGAAGCTTATGAACTCAGCATAGCAATTAAGACAGGCAAATGACAATTTTTTATTTTCTTCCTCACAGGCTATTCTTCCTTCTAAAATGCCGTTCTATCATGGTGTGATACAAACATGGTCAAAGGCATGGGAAAGGGGCACGATAAATCAAGTTGATTAGTATGCCAGGTTTACTTGCCCACTTTTATCCTCTGTCCTTTTAAAGACAACATCAGTATTAAAAATGTGGTTTAGTTCTGTCGTACAGACATTATTTTAGGACGTCTCAAGCATTTCCCACTGCAAACCATTTAGTGATCAATAAGATAATGATCCAAATCTCTAAAGAATCTATAGGCATTGCTTTGAACAAAGAATAGTATACGTTTACGATAGAACGGATGATTTCCTACTTCTTAAGTTTTCCAACACTGAACAGACAAGGGGAGAATTGCGAACTAGATAACTTATTTTCAGTATCATGCATTGGTCACTGCAGCATTTTTCCTCCTAAAAGACAAATCTGTACACAAGGGAACTTGTCTGGTACCAGCTCTTCAAGGAAATACAGTGATAATGGGGAGCTGCACAAAGAAAAGGAATTGTGACCATCACGGCTGGATAGGTGACAGCAGACTGGGCAAAAGTCATGAGGCATCTCAGGACCTAACCCACATAATCGTTAAGCAAGAATTGTTTAGCCTCAAACTACCTTCTTCTAAAAACTGTAATAACTATTTTCAATGATGAAAAGTTAAAAAATTAGAATAGTCTCAACAGCTCAAGAACATCTGTTCATTCAAAAAGCATTTGCATTTGGGTTTGTTGTTTGAAATCATTATGAAAATAAAAACTTAAGAACATTCAGGAAAATGTACAATTTGCCTCTAATTTATTCTCAGGTTTTCTGTGAATATTGCTCCCCACGTTGCCATGGCAACACAAGAACATCTTTCAGTACAGAGGAAGTAACAAGCCTTTTCATTCTCACCTTTAGCCATTTTATTGAGAACCATGTCAATTAGAATGTAGGTTCCACTTCTTCCTGCACCATCACTGCCAACAGAAAGGGAAAAAGAAAAAATAAGCCTATCAATGTGCATCTCAACTCAACATAAAGGTACCTGCCATTACGTTATACTCTTACACAGGAGACAGAAGATTGAATGAGGGTAAATGTAGGGTACTGAGAAGGAGAGAGGAAGCTTGCCCTGAATTAACACCAGCTGTTTGGGGAACATTAGCCTGCATCGATAACAGGGGTTGGTTTTATTATTATTATTTTTAAATCAAGTTGTGTTTATGCAATAAAAACATTTTAAACAAAAGTGGAAAAGTCAGTAACCTTAAAACAAGATGGCATTTCTGCTCATAAAATGTAGATATAACATGCTTACAGTCACCTGCATACGAGTTCAAGAATCACAGAATAAGCCTAACCTAAGCGTTATCTAGAACTGTTGTGGATTACATTTGAACAGCGTGGTCAGTGGGATGCATGCAGAGACCTGTCTAAGAGCTGAAATATTTGATTAACGATGGACTGCAGTCTTTCTTCAGTGTAGGTCACAAGTGATTTTTCTTTTTCTTTTTTTCCTTTAACTGTTCCTTAGTTGCAATGACCAGAAGAAAAATTATCAAGTAATTCCTGAGAAACAGCTTTAACTTTTTGTACCTTAAGTCATTCCTCAGAGATGTGAGACCAAGCCTTGGGATGGGAAATGCTCCCTAATGTGAATGCAGCTTGTGTCCCTTTCAGACCGCAATGTGTAATTGCCAGCATGATGCTCTTTTAGAGCTGTTGTTAGCAAACATAATTAAGACTTTAAGTAAAAGCTTTTTTTCCTTCCTCCTCCGAAATTTTTTCAAAGGTGCATGCGTGACCAATTAGACTGTATGTACGTTTATTAATTAAGCCATTATTTTTATTGATAGCTCAATTTGTGTACAAGCATAAATGAAAGGAAAAATAATAGAACAGTGTGAAGCGTCTTATTATGTTCTGTTTATAGACAGGCTGTGAAACTTAATTTTTGTTAAGTCTGTGTAGACAGGCTTTTTTTTTTTTCTCTTTCAGTTCCTAGAACACTGCTTAGAAAGAGGTAATGGTAATATATTTCTTTCCTATGGCTGTAAAGGGAATGAAGACACAATCTCATTAGTTAAGCTGAATAGCAAGAGACAAAATGGCGATCGAGTCCAATAAAAAAAAACTATTGAACGAACAGTGGACATTTTCATCCATTATAAGAAGGAAGGTGTAGGAAACTTAAAAGGCTCTTGATTTGGCATCAAATATTTCTTTTCTCAGGCTTCCTAAAGGCAATGCAAAGCAGCCTGCTCCAGGCTGCTCTCATCTGCAGAAGGCCTCCTGGCATCTGGTGAAGGCAACTGCCGAGTCACCAGCTTGGCATATCGACACCATGCGCTCCTCCTCTTCCCTCCCACAAACAGCGGAATGCCACATGTCAAACAACCTGCCTCTCAGTGGGACTATTTTTTCTGCCTTTCCTGTCCACAAGAGTATCTTGAATAAGTAAGTATAACATTCTTCTTTTAATTTAGAATCCCTGAAACCAAACATTAACATTCCTAGGGCAAAGTTTTCCATTGACCTGCCCAATTTTGTTTGTGTCTAGGATTGTCAGGCCCAAAGTTTACTCAATCCGTGCGTTGGCTTCCACTCACTAACACTGCCTTCTCCTTACCATGATCACTAAAAGCAAGAGAAGAAGAAAAAAACTTTACTGACTGTGAATAAAATAAAGAAGACTACATTAGGAGGGAACACATGGAAAAACAGTTCTTTAGAAGGAGATGATTGAAGAAATTGAAGTATGCATACAAAAAGGTGACTGTACAGTGTTAGTTCAAATCACAGCATCCACAAAATCACAGGAAACAATAACTTTATTAAGAAAACAAATCCTAACCATTATTTAGCATTAAGAACCAGATGATTTATGTTTAATATTTTCAGTCTGCCCTAATATCTGATTAGTGATTCATCTAAATCTTTCATTTGCTTGCTTTGCTTACATCTATATCAACTTCTTGCACATAGAAATCTTTGTGAGGCTATTTTAGAAATCATACTTGCCTGCAATGAACAACTACTGGACAAGAGCGACCCCTGTAGCACTTGTTTACTTTCCTGAAATAAAGCAGACACAAAAAATTAATTAAGCATATTACATATTGCTTCTTCAGCCACGTATCAAAAATAAGCAATATGAGAAAGCAGATATTACAGTCCTGAAAGAAACTGTCTAATTCACAATCTCCTGATATAACAAGCAGTTGTTACATACGTAATCTTGTTTAAAGTTTGCTTCTGCTTGGCTGTTGCAGAGGTCCCAGATAACATCCCCTCCTGGCTAGGCAAATGAAATGATCTCCTTTCTCCAACGTCTCAGATGTTAGCTCCAAAAGGATTATCACGAGATGTTTTAATTTTAAAGCCAACTTTGAGATCATGAGCTTACTCAAAGAAAGACTGAGGGGCATCAAGCCTTCTCCAGCATTCTAGCTGAAGATTCTCAATGGTGACAGAATGTATCTGAAGCAAAACAATAAATGTATAGCTATGTAGGTTGAACAAAGGCACCTAGTCTAAGAATAGAGTTTGCAATGTTGGCTTAAATCTATTTATATTGTCTCACAAAAACCAAAATCCCAAATCTTCTCTTCTGCTCCAGAATATATTTTGCATATAAAGTATGTTACACATCCAAAGCCCATCAAATACACACACATATGCTAACAAGGCAAGTTGAATAAAGGATTAAACAGTGAAACACTTCCTCAGGAAATCAAAACCTTTCATTTTCCTTGTTGAGATGCTTGAGCTTACTAGATCCAGAAGGTCTCCTCTAAAATCACAGCACAAGGCAGCTTTTGAGGGATGCCCAGCCACCCTGATGGTACCCAGCTTAGTGCAAATGCTTCAACAGATCCTAACTACTGAACTGAAGAAGTGAGCTGCTGGAATCTGGCAACTGCTACAATGTTATTATGAATTTTAAAGCATAACCAACCTCCTGAATCATTCAGTTCTTTCTTGGCTTTTCATCTATTCGCTATCATCTGTGCTGTGAAAGCATGCATATAACATTGCTTACAGTTCAGCCTGAAGATGCCTAAGCTTCTAAATCTGAAAAGGAGTCTGGATACCTGGAACTAAATCCAAGCAGGCTACAGAGATGCTGATGACGGTGCAAGAAGCTGGAATTTCACATTCTGCTTTTTACTAAGATTCTAAGGAATGCGATAATAATATTAAGTTCTTGTAATAATTCTGTTTAAACATTAGAATTCAGGATTTTTCACAATCCTTTCTCTTCTGTTCTTTTATGTAAATTAATATTCATATTCTGTATGTTTTTATATCCCTTTTAGACAAGAAATTAATGCTGTAAAAAAACTTTCAGTGAAATAAGTGGCAAGCCACCAAGAAGCACCTGAACTTGGAAATTATATAGGACATATATATGTCCATGAACACAGACATACACAGGCACTATCAAGCAAAACACTTCTATAGTTTCAATGACTTAAGTAGAGTTTTAGCATGAATGAGTCACTTGATTATTCATGGTTGTATCTGAGGATCAGCTCCTTTTGTACGAGGGCTACTCCAAAAGTAATGCCACCTATTTTATTATGTTGGCCTTCTACATCAGAGGTGGATGTTGGTCGTATGGTGGTACAAGTTGAACCTTCCCACCAATATTCCATTCCATTTTGTTGGTGTGTGTGACAGATGGCAGCAGAGGGGCAGCCTGACAAAATGTTGTCTGATGTGGAAGTACATATAAAGCAAAGGTGTGGAAGTGAATTCCTCCATGCAGGAAATACTGTACCCATTGACATTCATTGATGCTTGCATTTATGGAGATCAAACAGTGGATGTCAGCACACTGAGGCAGTGGGTGGTGCATTTTAGCAGTGGTGACAGCAACACGAAAGACAAACCATGTTCCAGACGGCCATGCAGATTTTTACAAGCATGGCATGCAGGTGCTCTTGTTTGTCACTGGTGAAAATGGTGGTGATTATGCTGAAAAATAGAGCTTTGCAGCTGAGAATTTGCTCTATCGAGTAGTGTTATTGTGCTGTTTGTATCTGCTGCAGTTTCCATGGAAATAATTAGGAGACATTAGTTTCGGAGCAACCTACGTACAATACAAAAGTCTCATTTTCATTTTTCACATTGTACAGTAAACTATTTTTAAGATGTCTCTAACATCAGCTGATAAAATGAGTCTGCATTCCCCACAGCAGCTGGTTATCCTCCCCCCATCACGTGCACTAGTGAAGAGTAGTTTCTGCATTTAGTAGATTACATAAAGGCTAAGAACTAGAGGGGTATTTACCATTTCTTTTTCTGCTTGTGTGGTTCCTTTGTTCCTTGACACAGCTAATATGATAGTTGCATGTTGTGACTAGCCACCTACCACAGTCCTAATATACTTTCAATGACAAATTGAACTAAACCTATCAGAAAATCAGACAATCAGAGACGCACATTAGGGAAAGACACCTTATGTTTATCAGTTTTATTGAAGGGTTTCAAGCATTTTCATTATCACACATTTCAGAAAACACATTAAAACAAAGGGTTTCAATCCAGCTGGTTCATAGCTTTCTCTGTATATAGTGTAAGAAAATATTTAGAACTGCAGCAACATCTTATTTCATTCTTAGTTCTGGCTAATGAGAGTGAGCTGAAAATTCATCAATAAGCAAAGTTCTTGAATGTTGAAGAAAATATATATTTTATATATATATACACACATATACAGGAATAATTAACTTAGAAAGAATGATTAGTAATACAAACCAACCCTTGGCTCATTGAGTGAAAAAGAAATCATCATGCAAACCATCAGCAAGCAAAGGTCAGAGGTCGTTAGAGGCTCAGAAAAGGGGTTTCCCACATTGTCCCTGCAGCAGAGTCACAGTTTCCAATGATCACTTTTGTGACTATGCAACTGGGCTCATATTACTAGCTGCAACATCACAAAAATGACACTGGCAACCGCTAATTAGCTGGCAAAATAAGAATTTGTCCATTTTTAAAGTGAGCAGTGTTAGTAAATGCCATTGCACACAGCAAGAAGTGATAGCATAATAGATATATAGTTTAAGCAAAGCCCTCACATGTGATGCTAATTATCTTTTAGCTTAGCAGTCCCTCTTTATAGTGTAAATGTGCTCCCTCTGGGCTCAAGAAATATTTAATTACACATATCAGTGCATGACTAACAAGCTAGTCCAGAGCAATAATGATTGGTCTATTGTTCAAAATGAAATTAGGACTCCAGAAGCATTTAAAACTGACCAGTGGTTTCTGCAGTAGCCTCACCTCTCAGGGACTGTCTTTTGTACAGATTTTTGAGATATGTGAAATAATCTCTTTTTGGCAATTTATACCTGCATTATGAAAGTATGATAGATTATTTCCCAAGGTTTAATGCGTCTGCTAGATTCTAAAACACTGATACACAGCAAGAGAAATGTAAGCTTTCCGTTTTCAAAGAGACTTGCAAAATTTACTTGAATAGAGATTGTAAGGTCCATATTTCCACAGACTCTGGGCAAGGTAATTTTGGGAATCCAATTTTTCTTGGTGATGAATTATAAAAAATAGAGGGTTGGTTATGTATATGTTTAATTTCATATATGTATGTGAATATATAAATATACACACATATCCATATATATATACAAACACACTGAATGCACAAAGAAACATAGATTAAAGGAAATGAGAGCAGCCCCTTCCTAGCACCACCTTGCAGCAAGTATGGCAGCGCTGTCAGACATTTATTCTGGGGGCTTTATGACTCAGCTGCTGTAATCCAGCAGAGCTTGTACTTTAAATAGGAAGCTTCAGGTGCAAACATGTATTGTATAAATGAATGCCAAATACATTCTCTTTTTTGTCCTTAAAAACCAGCAACCATCTGATGACCAAGAAAACTGAGATTCATAGACCAGCCATTGTGCATGCCAAAATTCCTTTTCAGAAGGAATTTTACTATGCATTCAGTATTACGAGTTCATTGTACAAAATCTGCACGTAGCAAATGATTACAGTACCCTACGCTGGACTGCAAATACATATTAAATGAACACTCAGAATTCAATTAAATCTTAACAGGTTCATTCCCATACTTGCTTTAAATGGTAAGAATAGCAGCTCAGCTACTTCTCTCATCTAATTATAATTTTGCTTTTTTAAAATACTGCTCAACATGTCTTCAGTATGGCTATTTAACCTTTACGCGGTATCTCCACGCAGCACTCTTGGTGATGCAAACTGTGACACCTAACCCTGCAGTTCAGAGATGGATCTTAAGTCTTAATGACTCAAACAGGAGCTGAGGTGGTCCAAGCTTCAGATGTTCTCGTTGTATAAGCTGATATATAGTCAAGTAATACCAAATTTCCCACTAACTTCAAAAAGCAGAATCAGACACTACGTTGAACCAGCACTGCAGCCTTGCACAGCTTAGCAAAACCCATTTAGCAAAAATTTACTACAGGAACTTCTACAATACCATGAGCAGAGGAAAATTAACTTATAAAAATCACATTAAAATCTGTATTTGAACTCAGAAAAGAGAACTTTGGAAAAAAATTCTGTTACAGTTTCAACTCCAACCTATGACTGCGCTTCCTTCCTTCTTCCACTATGGCTCTTGTGGTGTGACTGGAGCATGTCCTTGTGATCTTACCCAGCCCCAGCTCTCAGTGACTGCTGTACTCCATCACTTGACTTGCAATGTGTGAGGTGGCTCTGCCTTGAGAATGCTTACAATAGATACAAAAAAAAAAAGACTACTGGTGGGGTGGATAAATGGTGGCATTTGGCCCTAAATTTTTAAGGGAAAAATTGTGCCAGAAGACAACTGTGCAACCAGGTCCTGCTTGGACATAAGCCACCTTATCACCTCAGATGCATCTCTCTGCATCAGAGCTCCAAGCACTGACTGAAAGAAACAAGATTGGACCTTTTGGGCCCTGAGCCCTGTATAATCACTTCAGGGGGTTGTGGATAATATTTAACACAGAAAGGAAAACGGGAGATCCCAGAGGCTGCTCGTGGATTGAGAACCAACTCTTGAAACCTCACGGAGATTCTTTTCATTAGTCATGAATGCACTGCAGTGGATTAGTGGTACATGCTAACGCCTACACATGGCGTGCTGGGCATGGTTTGCAATCAAGTGAAGATTATTTCTCTCCAATATTTATCATGCACGGCTTTAATTTTCAAATTAAAATGTAGACAGACACAGTAGACATGAGGGAAGGTGACAAGTTTTCACAGTTTTGCCTTTGTCTGTTTGTATTTTAAAGCCGTGTTGACTTTCTTTAAAATCCTAGAGGGCATGCTTTGTTAACATTTTCATCTGCTTTCTCTAATTTCCCCTTTTCTTCAACCAAAGAAAGTCCAGAGGACTCACAAGCAAACACTACTGTGGCAATGCCATTACTGCCATGTGACTCCAGCGTGATTTTCTCTTTAAGTGTGCTCATACAATGCACTCTATTTGTGAGATGCCTGCAATAAGGATCATAGGGGAGCCACACGGAAGGCCTGGAAGTTCCAGACAGCTAAAGGCTTAGAAAACAAAGAAGTACAGAAGCACTGAAGAGCTGTACAAAGGAAAGAAGGTAGCAATCTCTAAATGGGAACTGAATGTGTCTATTTGTGAGGCAATAGCAAAAAATCAATCCATTGCAGATTTTTGTTAGTTTATCATTGCAGCATCACAGGCTGAGGACGCCCTTCCAAAAGAGGATTTTTAGAATTAGAGCTAGTTTAAGTTTAGTTCCTCAGATACGAATTGCCTTAAATAAACTTCCATACTATGTGCTTTACCTGCGGAAATCCAGCAGTGATCTTGTGGAAGCAGGAACTCTCTGATCATTCCAGCTGAGGAAATGGAACTGTGTCACCGTGCGGGTCTCATTTGTCTGCAGGTTCTTCAGGTAGAAGCTCCTCACCAGGAAATCCTCACACCAGATGTGCTCAGAAACAAGGTTTACCTGCACCCCAGAACATAAACGGAAATCAAGAATTTCAGTTGCAAGCCACAGCTTCACAACTGCAGTTGTAAGATGCCTTGGATGAAGGAACTGCAGGAAGTTTTATTATCAAATTGAGCACTGCTGTGAAAATAACTTTCTCTAGCAATCCGTTGTGTCAGGAAGGGGTTAGCTGCCTCTGCTGTCTCATTGGAGACACTAAAAAAAATGCTGCTAGTTTTAATGCGAAAGGAAAAAAACACAAAATTGAAACCTGACACTGGATGAATGCAAAAGGCACTGCCTAAAAATACACCAGACTGCCAGATGCTGTGCACACAGAAATGCCCACCATGCATTGCTCAGCCCACCCGAGCGGTCTTAGAAATCTCACAGTGGAATTCATGTGAGAAGTCAAAAGTCAAATTTTCACCTATGTAGAAAAATAAGCATAAAAACAGAACTTATTTTCAGAGTTGGTCTTTTTCAGAAAGAAATCTTTTTCGCTCGTTAGTTTAAATAGCAATCGTTCTTGATATTTTCCTATTTGTATTTGGCATCATGGTGTTATTTTCTTCCTCTGCTCAGCCAGACAGCTGGAAAAACATGACAGCCATTGTCAAGGCTAGATTTCAACAAAAACCAATGACACAGTATTTTGGGCTCACAATGTATAGCAGAAAATAAAAATGTATATTTATTGTTGTGACTGAGGTAAATGGTAAAGATAGATAGCATTAATTACAAAAGCTATATGGAAGCTGTTCTACAAACATTACGTATGGCTTTCCTAAGGCACAATTCACTAGTTCTAAAAATACTATTAGTCCTATAAAAAATAAATATACACTTCTGCATATCAACCATTTGCGAGACTGTTTTAGAGACAAAATCATTGTCCTTGATTACAGTTTCCCTGTAACTCAGTTCATGACATTAGTAGGTGCAAGCCACCAGGCAACTAAAACCACCCAAATTTCTGGCAAATCTATGACTACTTGAAGACAAACCTAAGATGAAACGGCATTTTGCCCCATATAAAATGAAGCCATGCTCTTCCTGTCCTGCTTACACCCAGTGCTTTGTTTCAGTACCTCGTAGATGTGGTAGAGGTTTGACCCTTCGTCGGGCCAGTAGTGGTAGCACTGCTTGACTCCGCTTTCCGTGAGGGGTGTCAGCATGACAATAACGACACAGCCGTTCTCCCAGACCATCTGCAGACAAAGAAAGACACCATAGCCACACTGTGACTGCCTAATTACTGCGTGACATGTATAATTACTGCACTCAGACACACAATCAAAATTTATTCCATTCACAGGAAATTTATTTCATTTTCATTAGACACTTTTACTCTGCAGCTGCTTTCAAATCCCTGAATAAACTGGCACCATATTTTGCAGGCATCCATGAAATATTAAAGAATTTCCAGTGATTTCAATTCACGTCTTCTGTAAATTCTCTCCTCGTTCCTGGTATTGCGTTCAAATGCTTTTCTATCAAACTTTTAGATCCACAAAGGAAACACTGAACAATGCTTGCAAAACATGCAGCTCCTTGGTGTTTGATACTGAATACCCAAGGAGCACAGATATGCCATTAGCAGTGTGTTGACCTGCTAAAGTCGCATTTGCTGAAACTTGTGTCTCCTCATCCCTGATTCTTTTCAGTTTCCCACACAGCCAAAGCCACAGAACTGCCGCATTGCTGGAAGAGGTATAAGAGGCACAAAAGTTGCATTTCAACAATAAGGAAATAAGTAAAGGGCAAGGGAAAAAAATAAATTGACCAAATATCTTCTTCCAAAAACGCTTCAAATAGAGAAATCATCCTTTCACACAATTAGAAAAGAATTACTGCAAATGTGCAAATACTTTCTTCTTCCTTCATTCATCCTTCTGTTCCCTCCTTCCTTCCTTATTTTTTTTTTTCCCCCTATCTTTTTCTTTCACCGTCTCTTTTTTCCTAACCCTTTCCTTCCCTTCTTACATTTCTTTTCTTGTTTCTCCTGGCAATACAAGGGAAGCCCAAGCAGTGCTGCAGACTGTGCACTCTCATAGCACAGGTACAACACGAATGAAGGGGAGCTGCATCTTCACCATCAGCATGATCTCTCAGTAATTCAGAGTAGCCACAGAGCAGAGCACAGGAATCTCAACCAAAGAACAAGCTGAGTTGCTCTGGTCTGGCACATCTCTGTTCCAAACAGCCCACGACTGAACAAAAAGGCTCCTATGAATTAATACCAAGCAGCATAATCACTAAGAACTGTTATTATTACGCTGTACATTGATGTTATATTTGCATACAACTTTCATTGTCTTTTTGCTCGCATATGAAATTACTGAATGAAGAGTAAACGGCTCTTTTTGTGAAGGGTTATGTTTATTTCACAGAAATATTTATAAGCGACTGTATTGACATGTAAATTCTGTAAACAAAAAAGGCCTTTGTCTAAACCGTGCAAAGATGAGATGATACATTCAATTCAAGGATTATTTTTTTTAATTACATATCAAATAAAAAGGTTTCCTATTCATGGATAATGATGTTGTCTTTTCTTTTAAGAATAGCTTGAATATATAGAAACAAGTAACATTTTTTCTTGCTTATTTTTTCCCCATTTTGTAACATAATTGAAACAACTTTTAAAAACAGCTTAGAATTACTTAGAGAAATTGATGTAGGGTTTGCACAGAATAGGCCTATTTATGATTTTGGACAGAACCACAGGAAAAAAACTGCAGTTGAATACAAGGAATAAAAATAATCTTAATTCTCTTTTTCTTCCCCTTGAGAAGATTTTAAAAAAAATCAAAATATCCATAATCCATCCACCCACCCTCCTGCTAAAAACTGACAGCACTGCAAGAACTGCAAAATACTTCAAATTGATGGACAACTTGTTTTATAGGCTGATGTGGATTCATCATTTGTATTTTCTTTTGTCTCTGCGCTCCTTTTGGGTCACAGCTGGCAACCTTCTCTGTATATAAGGAAAACGATACAGATTTCATTCATTCTGTCATAATTTCACCTTTTTTTGAGTCAGCAATCAGACTATGATCAGAATTCAAAACATGTATCTTACTTTAAAACTAGCCCCACTAAATCAGTACTTTCATCACATAACGATTTAATGTGCCTCTAGAAGGTATAGAAGCTCATTGAAGCCATTACGAAAATGAGGAGAAACACAGTTTTTATGAGTGTAATAAAAATACAATGATCTAGACCATAAACTAATCATCGAGCACTCTGCTTGTGCCACCCAAGTGTAACATTATAAAAGCCCACTCGCTTAGAGAGGAATCCTTACAGTTTGGCAGCCCCGTTCATTGGTTCAAAGACACAGCATTTCATTAGACAGGGGCTGTCTGCATCTCTGAAGATTTCATTAAGCATAAATCCAAATGAAAGTTAATTTAAACAAACAATTTGAAAGTTACTCTGGAGTATAATATTTTTTTTTTCCAGTCATAGAGCAAAAATGTCAAAGTCAAATCTACTAAATCAAGAAGGTAACGCAATCTAGTGGCAACGTGCCCGTTTCAAGCAATTGTCAGTGCATCTCCTTTGCTTACCATTGAGATGGGACATTCAGCAAGACTCACAGGCAATGACTTGAGCACTACTGCTCTTTTCTTCTCCTTAATAACTTAAATATTTGACAATTAGGCTGTTACCCAGATCGCTTTCCAAATGAAGCAGAAGACGGATGAGTAAAAGGCAGTTCACAGAGTTTCACACAGTCCATCGCCCCATCTGTAACTCGGCGATGGATTCAGGAACAGCCCAGCACTCAGCTGTGCTTTAGAGGGTGTGGATATGGCCATGTGCTAGAAAGTGGCCCAAGTGACTGTCTCTGCCACCTTGGACATGAAGCATAGCCTCAGGCTTTACAGTGCTCCACAAGCTCTGGGAAGTGCCTCTTTCCAAAGGGAAATTTCAACTGGATCCAAACAAGGAAGGACATTACATTGCAAATTCACAGTAGTTTACGTAGTTCTGAACTTCGTATGATTGCATAATTTACAGGAAGCCACTTCACGCAACATAAGAATAAAGAGAATGTAAGGTTCTCAGAGCCAGAGCAGAGGCTTTTCTTTTTAGTTATCTGTGTGGAGCCTCACAAAATTAAGTCTTAGACTCTAGGTGTTAAGTACTGCTAGGCAAAGAACCATATAAAAATCAAACGTTAGATCGATTAGTACAGTCAGTTTCAAGTTTGTAACTAACAGTGATACCTGGAGAAGAAATGTTGAATAGAGACTTACAAATGGAAGAGAAAGTGTGAGTTATGTAGAGGAACTCAGTTTTAATACAAACACTTTGCTGAAAATACTGAATAATTTTGTGTGACTTGCTCAACCTTCAGCCTGTGCGCTATTTAAGCATCTCTATCAAGGTTCTGCTGAGCGCATCATTCTCAAAACATTTCTCAGACAAGAAAAATGCCATCCCTCCCCATTTATTGCAAATTAAAGGCTGAATCCTGCAGCCCAAAGACAAGCAGTAAGCGCGTTTGACATCTGCAGGATTCCCTGTTGATGAAACCCACCACGTGTAGAGACCCCACGCTGTGGCTATGTAGTGTGCCAGTCCCACACAAAGGACTTCTGCTTTGGGAGGAATTAAGTTTAGTATAAATTACTTGCAAAGGAGCACCGAATGGCTTTTTCAAAGAAGTCACAAGTAGGAGAATCACTGCTACAACAATTACAAATTGAATAAAACGCCAGCTTTTGAAAGCTAGTAAGTATATTTTAAAATTGTGTTCTTTACTGGTTTGTAAATTAGATGGCTAATATGAATTCCTTCTTTTTTTTCCAGAAACTTGATCACTTTGAAGCTTCGATTTATAGTGATAGATCCAACTCAAATCCTCTTTTTTAGCCTCTTTATTTTAGCGATAGGGAAATGACAAGATGTGTGTTCCATTCAGGCACTGTTCTTTTGACCAGGACTAGTGGAAAAGGCTCTACAATGCAATGATTTAAAAGTAGAAAATAACTGGTATAATCAACTAAATCAAGTCTGTTAATTAAAAATATTTTAAGTACACCAGTTGCATCTTGAAAGAGATCTCCAGAATCAGTATGTAACTACCCAAATAGTCAGTAACTGCAGCTGTTTGGATAAACAAGAAAACAAAAACCAAATAGTTTCTAATGATGATCAAAAATTAACATGGATAAAAACAATTCCTAAAAACAACAACAAAGTAAGGTATTAAACCTTAAGCGAATAGATTACATACATCCTATGCACATCTCCTCTGTGATTTCTTCCAAATTCTCTACTAGAAATAGGAAATGTTGATGGAAGCAGTTGGAAAATGGTATTTATGGAATATTTTAAAACCAAGACCCCATTTTTTTTTTTAATGGATTAGAAAGAAAAAGGAGGGGGGGCTTTTAACTGCAAAAATATTTGGGGGAGGGTTTAGAATTTTGGTTGGGTGCCACTCAAAAATCAAACTTTTCGAAATGTTTTGGTTGACAATGACATCCTTTTGATATGAAGAAGGGTCTAATCTGACAAAGACAGCGTGCCCATTTACAAATCCATAGGTGTGCCAAACAGCTCAGTAGATCTGTAGTTTTAACAGTTAGCTGTCAATAATTTATGTTTAATTAAAAACTGCAGTTTGAAAGGCATTTTAAAACATAAGTGAATGCAAATTGCTCCATATACCACCTGTGCTGTTGCAGCAACACTTCTTTGGAAACCATTCAGGAGGGCAAACTCAAGATGGCTGCGTGTGTTGCAGTAACTTCTGCTGTGCCCAAAAAACATGAACTACTCTTCTTCTTCACAGGAGATTGATTACTCCAGCCTTATGAGTAAATAATTTAAATATTTAAATACTTGCTTTATTATTATTGCAGCGCTGACAAAACCACTCTAAAGAGGGACAGTCCCACCAAAATTATCAGGAATTAACTTTTCACTTCAGCATTTGAGAGATGGAATATAAAAATTAAAGGGACAGAATTTTTAAAAGGACCACTTCTCAGTACCTCCTCTGACCTGAGCCATAATTACAAGTGAGCATAGTAAGCTCACACAGCTGTACTGAACGCTTATGGAATTCATAATGCTGTATTTTATTTCACGTAGCTTGATAAGTTACTAGAGCTCTAGGGGCTACTGTTCTGTGCCTCTCTCTCCCTTGCTGTTTTTCTTTTATTAAATTAAAATATGCATATTT